ATATTTTTTGTAACTTAATTCTTCCTTCTATCCCCTCTTCTCCTCTTCTCTCTTCCTCACTTCCCTAGGAGGTTTTCCAAGCCACAGTCCTGGAATTTCTGAACCAAATACTCTTGTCTCCATTATTATTTCTACTTCTGGAAAAAATGTCTCAGACTAGTGTCTCACAGGAAAGGAAAGTCATTATACTGCCAGTACTTGAGAGATGTTTCTTTTATTTCTCATTTCTTTTAGACATCCTTAATAAATTACACACCTTCTCTCCATATTAGTTGAACCAGTTCCCTTTGAAACTTTCATTGTTTATTATAATTCACCTACTAATATTTTTAAAGTATAAGTTTCATTCTATTGTCCCTGATTTTTTTTTTCTTAGAAAGGGACACATACAGATTCTTGATCCTTTTATTTGAGAATTCAGTATGGCAAACTAGTTTCTTGTTTAGCAAAATACCTTCCTTCCTTTACTTTGAGCGTGGCGATATGACTTGCATTGGCCAGTGGGGTGTTAGTGGATATGATATGAGCAGAGGCTTTAACTATGTTTACTAGTATGTCCTGGGCTTGCCCTTTTGTGACTTCAGCCATGATGATGAAAAGAACACACTGTGAGAGTAAGGTCCCACCCTCTGGGCCCAATACTGTAATATGTGAAGCAAAGACGCCCCAGCCAACTTGGTAATCTACAGCCTCAAATAGCTGACCAGACCAGCCAGCAAGCACTTACGGGAGAAATAAATGCTTATTGTTATATATCAGTGATTTTGTGGTTGTTGGTTGCACACCAAAAATAGACTGTTACGTGGAGTAACAGTAAATGGTAGACCAAGTTCTACCACTTACTAGTAGAGCTCAGATATCTGTATTTGAAAATGAGGGGTTTGCATTGCTTGAACCCCAAGATATTTAACAAGATTTTAACCTCATGATTCTTGAGTTGTCCACACTTTCCACAGTGTATTTTCCAGAGCATGGATCAAAATAGAACCATTGTTAAATGAAAGCAGAAAGAATGGGATTTGTTTGTGTTCATTATAGAACTCTGGAGGGTCTGCTGAAGGGAAGAGGTGTACCCAGAGAGGCTTCAATGACAGTTGGTTGCAGAGTACCAGAGGGTAACATGCTACCTTCCCACTAAGTCAGCCTTCAAGGTTCCAAGTATAAGGATCAGACACAGGCTTTACTCACCCTCTCTAAGAAGAGAGTATGTTTACTACCTTGCATAAGACAATATTCAATGCATCATGGAAAAGAATAAAAAAGATGGAGTAAAAAATGGAAACTACAGGGTATTGAAATAGAAATGTTCTTGTTTCGCCTTGCTTTCTCTTGAGTACTTGTGTCCTGGGCTTTGCATCACAATGAAAATGACAAACTCTGGTGGCACTGTCCCACCCATAAAGGCCCATAATGAAAACACCTGCACAAATGGGATTCCTGCTTTGCATGAGAGGCTGACTGTGGCATATATAAGGTCCTACCCAATCCCAAATATCAGGACATCATATGAGAATGACTTTATTTGAAGCAGTCACATATAAGAACCTCAGAAACCTTTGTTCATGGCAGATACTTTAAAAGCCCTAATATCCCTTAACTTCCTAAAAAAAAAAAAAAAAAAAAAAAGGCAGAAATCTCTTTAAGTATCTATTGTACCCTTTTTACACATTTAAAAATTGCCTTTGACCACAGATTTCCTCTAGTTATTCAATTGCTGTTTGTATGTATGCCCAGGAATCGTTTCCATAAGGACAATAAATTTCTAAAATAAAATTTGCTGATGGGGCAAAATTAATACATTTACTTGTAATAAAATTACTTTGAAGAGGACACTAATATATAATTAAAATTTTGTCATTTAGGTAATATTTTTAAAGAAGGAAGCATTCTTATGCAACATGACCGAAATGCTCTGGGGAGCTCTAAAATCATTTTTTCATTAAATAGAGCTGAAATTATGTGCACAACTAGAACATGAGAAATAAAAGAGGAAAACAAAGTATGGAACACTGGGGAATGAGAAAATAGACTGCAAAAGGAACAGTGTTCAAGGTTACCCAGTGAGTCAGGCAAAAAGGGGAGGGTTGGGCTGATGCTAAGACCCACAGCATATTTCCATTAATGTCCTTGCATTAAATCTGCCATTTTTAGTAGATAATGTATTATGAGGGAAGGCATACATATTTACCATTCTCTTAGGGTCTAGCATGTGTTACTTCACAGGTGTTTATCAAATAAAATGATAGATCAATCAATCCCTAGTAAACCAAAGTTAACATAGCATCATTTTACATATCTAATCTCATTATTCTCACAACCAACCACCTCTGAAGTAGGTATTTCATAACTCCCGCTTTATAGATTAATTTAGGTGATGTTTACATCATACGAAGCTGCTTAGCCAAACTTTGTAAAAATTCTAACTCTTAAGAAGGCTCACAGAGGGAGCTATTAAATATAAATATAAAACAGGTGAAGAAAGAACAAAAAAGCTCTGAGAAAAACCTAAAGTCAGATACAAAGTTGATATTTAGGAGAATGGGAGCAGTTTGATGATTTTATTATGTGGCAGATCTTACTCGCTAATTAGTCAGGACATACATTGAGCATGTCTGCACAAAATCTCTATTGATAAATTATTTGTACATTAGGGCATCTGGCAGTTAAGCCACAAAAACTTTAACAGAAGGCTTTGACATCATATAGATCTACCACAAGAAAGCAGTCCTACTTAGAAAATTAAGTTTCTGTGTTCCGTGTCTGCTTCTTCAAAGCACTGCTCATTTGCTTTGCCAATGGATACAGTAAAGAGATTTACTGTAATAAAGACGTTGTATTCCTTAATATAAACATGGTTCTCTGCCCCAAGGGTACTGCAGCCTCAGCAACAAGTGGTCTTCCACCCAAAGCCACATGTAGCCAAGAGACAGAAAACAAGGGCGGGGAGGAGGAAAGGAGCAGTCCCAGCATCAGGTAAAACCTCAGACTCTACAACGAGGCTCTCTAGGTTCATTCTTGGCCCTGCCTCTTACTGTGCAGCCTTGAGAAAGTTACTTAACTTCTTTAGGACTCAGTTTCCTCATCTATAAAATGGAGAAATTAATAGTACCTATTGCATAGGGTTATTATGAGGATTAAATGAGGATTAATATGTGTGTTCATGCTTAAGACAGTGTCAGGTATATAGTAATCCCAATATAAATGTTTAATAAGTACAAGAAGGTAGAAAAAGTGAGAGAGAGACTGCTGGACACGCGGTGTTCTTAATGCACTGTTTTGCTTCCTTCTAACTGGGTCCTTTACTTTCCACCTCCAGGCCACTTGATTTCTACCAGTAAGCATAACCCCATTTCCGGTCTGACCCCAAACAACGCTCATCCAGAGAGATTTAAGAAGCTCTAATTCAGTAGTTCAGGTGACTCAGCATTAAACCAAGATTGCTGTTATTCTTGTCTTGACCCTGTGTCCCAGTTTTAGTCCCTTGTTCCTGTAATCAAGTCCCCGCCTTGTACTCCAGTTCTAGCATATTTCTCCCCGGAGGCTGAGGCCCGGCCAGCAGGACCAGCCAGGTCCTCCCGTTCCTTCCAGGCAAACATCTCTTAAAGGGCAGCCTCTTCACTAGAAACTACGCTCTGGCACACACAGTTGTTTGAACCTTTGAAAATTTGTTACCTGTACTTAAAAATTGCAGGATTTTACACAAAGTTCAAAGTTCTGACTTCTATTGAAACATTGGGTGGTCTGACAACACTTGATCCCCTTGGTACCAACCCACTGGAGCTGAGTGGTTGCTGCCCCCTTTGAAAGGCCACGTACCATCTTTTCCTCACTGAACCATTAGTTTGGATCTGGATCTACATCTGTTTGCTTGGCCCTTGCAGGCATTTGAGGTTGAGTTCTAAGACTAAGAACTAGCAGGTACATTGTGCCAAGTATTCTTCTAAGTGATTCACATGCTTTTCTCATTAAACCAAAGTTCATAAATCTGTTTGTCCTTCTACCCATTACCCTTGCAGCCCTCTCCTTGCTTCTAACCCTCTGTCTGCATGGATCTGTACCTGTTCTGTCATTCCAAATCACTATTCTCAAGACCCACCAGCTAAGGGCCTCTTACAAAGCTTTGTTGAACCTCTGTAATATGTCAACCATTCACACATAATGTGGCCTGTTGCCTCTCCAATCTCCCAACTGGACCCCATTGTCAAGAACTTTGGTCATCAGAGTGGTTATATTTCAGTTACAAAATCCCAGGCTTTACTGATACGAGTGATCCTATAATCTCATGCCAGGCTTTTATAAAACCATACAATTTATTATATACAGACAGTCTTCACTCTCACAAGATTTTGTTCCAGTTCTTATTAAAAACCCAGAAAAACCCACCAAATATTTATAGAAACTTACTTATGTTCTAGGCCAGTGGTCAGCAAACTGCGGCTCATGAGCCACATGCGGCTCTTTGGCCCCTTGAGTGTGGCTCTTCCACGAAATACCATGGCCTGGGTGAGTCTATTTTGAAGAAGTGGCATTAGAAGTTCAAGTTTAAAAAATTTGGCTTTCAAAAGAAATTTCAATCCTTGTGCTGTTGACATTTGGCTCTGTTGATTAATGAGTTTGCCAACCACTGTTCTAGGCTCTATAACAGAAACTGATTTGAATATTTACTAAGAGATCCAAAGAAGTTTGCTTATCTATTCTATAAGCAATTCAATCTCTTTTCAGTGAACCACCTAGGAAACTAACATTATTTGAACACAATGGGCAATATTTTTTTCTCAGACAGGCCCTGTGCTTCACAAAACAATGGATAAAAGAGAAAAACATCTGCATGACTAAGCGGAGATTTAGCAAATGACAAAGGAAACTCACAAAACCCATTCCATACACCATTCCATAAAATTATCTGGATTGAGTAAAACCGAATATGTATTAAAATCAAAACATAGCTGATTAAGTTCCAAAATAGTTTTAAAGAAACCCTTAATAAAAATGTCACTTACATAGGGAATCGTGTCCAGTGTATCAGTGTTCACAATTATAGGAGCAGGACTGGCCTGAAAAAAAGAGAAGTAGAAAATGTTGTAAGTAGTAAGTAGTCTATTCCAAGAATCTGTTAACTTTTAAACAAAGAGCTTAATAGTATCTCTCGAGGAATCTTAGGACCCTTATAGCCACCGTGTCAAGTGTTAGGAGAAAAAAACGAAATGGCTCAAAGTTCTCAACACCCTCCAAATAATGTGTTTGCTACACTTACAACATAATGAAATGAAGTAAGCATTCATGGAACTTATACTCATTTTCTCTTCAATTTTATCCAGCAGTTTAGAAGATGAGGATTTGTGATACTTAAGTGGCAAGGATTTTTAAAACACTAGATGAGAGCTAAAGTTGGCAACATTTCTTTTTAAAGTGGCTGTGCTAAGTAAATTTGATTTCCTACTCTAAGAAGCAAAATTAAACTTAAATCAATATTTACAACGCTTCCCCTTAAACTGTCTTTTGAGTGTATGTTGTATTCAATGCAAAATATAAGGGTTCACTTAGTGATATATATATATATGTTACCTATTATACATGCTGTTATCATTTTTTTGTTATTTATACATTTCTGATCATATATCTTAAAAATCTCTGGAGAGAAAATGAACACTTAGTCAAAGTGGCAGAAAATCTTATTTAATATGCTAAACTATTTTTTAAATTGTACAAACTGCAGTCATTTGCCTTAAAGTTGAGTAGGAATCTGTAAAATATGATATAGGACAGCTACAAGCCAAGTCATTAAAAAATAAGAGATTGCAATCTATATTTGCATTGACCAATCTGACTTCATGAATATTGAGTAGACCTATCTTTATTTTCTAGTTTCTAGAATTTCCACAGCAACTTTCCCTTCATCCCTGAAGGATCTTTAATCTCCTTACCAAATTGTAGATTTCATTTAGATTAAGGAAATACTCTCCTCATGATTAATGGAGAGCTGTGCCATAGGACACAGTAGTTTGGGCAAGTATTCAACTTTTAGGGCATTTCGTTAGATGTGCCCTCTGGAGTTAACAGAGGTAACAGGTTCTTAATGTCAATCTGTGTTTATGGGATCCTAACCGAATGATAAGACAAGTGTCATTCCAACAGAATTTACAAAATAAAATACGTGTTTTAACTAAAAACACTGGGCATTGAGAACATGACCCTGGTTATACATCCACGTAGTGGGTCAACAAGATGTTCCTGGTTTGTGAAAGTCCTAACAGCAAGTGCCTTGTGGGTAAATGGGGCTTGGAGAAAGATAGTTTACAGGGGACTCCACACAAAAACTGCTTGTGAAGAGGCATGTGGTGTGGGAGAAGAAGGAGCAGTTTAGAATGAGGAAGACCTGGGTTAAAGTTTGTTTTATCAACTTCCTCGTATTTGAGGACTCAGCAACTTCCTTGTAGGGTGACCTGGGGGCAAGTCCCTTAACCTCTTTCGCCTCATTTTTCTTCTCTGTAGAATGGAAATAGAAACAATCACTTTCTGAAAAAGGTTTTTGAAGACTAAATGAGGTGATATATTTGAATATTTTTGTAAACTTAAATTTCAAAATCAATGTTAAATATTATTATTGAAAGTGTCTCTAAAGATGGACTACTGTGAGGATATATCACTTTATGGTTTGTGAACTGTTTATACCCCAGAGGGAAATTTCAATGCTGTGTTAGTGGCTGTAACTGCACTGAAGAGAATGGATTAGATCATATGAATTGCCACTTATTAAATATGTATTACTTACCACTATGCATATAAGAATATACAAATATTGTATATTTTTATTTAATTTCCACAAAAATATATTGATGAAGCATTGTTATCACTATGTCAATGCTACAGATGAGAAAAATGAGGCTCAAGGAAAATGAAAGTTGATATTTAATCCTGGCTTTGTAACTTCAAATTCGTTCTTTTTCTCTCCTTGATTATAGCATCTAATCTTGAATTGATTGGAGATCTCTAGCACCATACAAGATTGCAGCAAAGCAAAGACCGCAATGAAGGTAAATAATGCCTCAGGGTCTTACATATTAGATATTGAAAGAAATCTAGTAATGCCTTCATGGCTTTTATTGTTGTTACTATTGTTTGTTTTTACTTTTGAGGACATCTCTCTATGGTTTCTAAGTCCTGGTTCCTAGGACTCCAGAAAGTGATGATGCCTTATCTCCTTTACTTCACTGAAAACTTTCCAAGTATCACACCTAATATTTGTATTTTACCTTATTGTTTAATATAGTATTGTTACTGTAGTTAGCTGGATATTAATGAGGGAAAAGAGCAAAACCTATGGGGCATGAGCTTGTTTGCTTTACCAGGAAGCTACCACTCCATACCCCAAGGAATCTCAGCTTTGACCCTCCTGGGGGATTAAACCTCTCCTTCCCCTTCAAGTACTGGACTGAGTATGTGGGGAAGAGGAGAGATAAGAACTTGCATAATAAAGTAAAAATGGTGCAGGGGGGTGGTACCTGCCATAGAGGCCTGTTAGTCTAACCTGAGAAAAAGATAATTGACTAGGGGGTAGACTCCAAAGCAAACCCTAGAAAATTTAGGAAGCTGACTGATTATTTTGAAAAAGCTTCTGGTTCTTTCCAGGCCTGGGAAAATATAAGTTCAGGTGAACAATCTCTCTCTCTCTCTGTCTCTCTCTCTCTCTGTCTCTCTCTGTCTCTCTCTCTCTCTCTCTCTCTCTCTACTCTCTCACCTGCACTCATGCTGTGCATTCATGCATTCTATGCATTCTTTCTCTTTAGTCATGTGGCCTTAACAGCCACATGGCCACTGGCCAATGGGTTCCACAGGCCAGCTCCCGCCTGGTTAAGGCAGCAAAGCAACAGACTGTAGCTGGGAACACAAGCTAAGCTCACCAAATGCTGGATGGGACTAAGCTTTAATAGGGCACAGGGTCTCTGGACATTGACTCTATTTTTGGCCCTGATTTTCCATGGTGAATTGGACAGTGATGGGACACTGGAGAACCTCTATAATTTTGCTTCCCGAATAAACCTTGCCACCAGATCTTATCCTCTCTTGTAGGTCCCTAGAAATACTTTTCCTCATGATACCACAAGAACTCCATATCCACCAGCAACAGTATGATCAGTAAATATGTACATACTGATTTGAATTGGGGCTTTCAACACACCTTATTTTTTAAAATTCTTTTATATGTTGTATTAATATGGTCTGGGAATACATTTATACACAAGCCTATTTCCCACACAGTGCCATTCATCACTTTTGTATGTCTATGCTTCTATTTCCACTTCCTGTATAAATCTGGCATTTCCAATCAGACTCTATATTTAGAAAATAACAAAGATTGCATATTTCCCTATAAATCTTCACAATATTTGGATACACTGAAGGAACTCAGTAAATACTTAGGAATTATTGACTAAATGTATCTATAGAGTTTAGATGAGGGTATTACAGAATACAATACAATACCATTGCCTCCTGCACAGCCCCCACCAGGGATGTGCCCGCAACCAAGGTACATACCCTTGAGTGGAATTGACCCTGGGACCTTTCAGTCCCAGGCAGAGGCTCTATCCACTGAGCCAAATCCATTTCAGCGTGACTGTTATTTCTTGTCTCACTTTTGAAATCATGTGAGTTCATAACTAGTTTGATTTAGTTTAGCTTCTGAGTCTTAACGCCAATTCCCTAGTTACTTTGATGGTTTCTTCTAAGCTTTATCTCCACACTTCACATTGATCTACCATCCCTATACCTTCACTCTCCATATTAGATATCCTCTCTAATTGGACCACTAAATCAAATTGCTAACTTATAAAATTCCATCATCCCTTTTCTATGTTCTTATTTCCATGAACTGGAAAAAAAGATTTGTAAAAAAAATATGAAAAAAATATTTTTAACCAGAAATTTCAAGGTTTACTATCTGTAAATCTAGATAGACTTAAACTTAAGAATATAAATCTGTCTTAGGTGACCCAAACTGTAATATGTAAAGGCTTTGTCTTATACTTATCCAATGGGAGAAAGCAGTTTATAGCAAGAGGTAAGAATAAAGGTAATCATAGAGAAGCAGGAAGCAAGCAGAGAGGCTACTAATACAATTTAAATTATGAAATCAAGTTATTCATTAATTCTACCACTTTCCTGTCTTTGGGATCTATGACATAGCCAAATATTTTAATATATTGTAACATCAATAACTTTTCTTACACTAAGAAAAAAGTAAACTTCCCTTGCTTGCTACCATGAAAATGTAACTAATAAAGTTTGTCATAATTTATGCAAATTTTCTAAGGAGTTTATTGATTTTGACTGATGTGGTTTCTTCTTAATATTTGTTAAGTGCTAGATTTGGGGTATGCCTGGGACATAAATGGTCAAGTAGATATCAGGTCAGCTACAGTGAAAAAGTCTCTTCAATAAGGTATTGATAAGGTATTGACAGAAGACAGTCAGTCCAGGGAGATACTCTGGAAAGGTTAGGTCTAACAGGTGGTAAGCTAGGTAGCAGAAACATCAACAGACTAAACCCCAGGCCTATGCCTAAGCTTTTAAGAAGTAAAATGAAAAGGAAAGAAGACCACATAGTCAAATGACTTAAATACAACAAGGTCTGACAATAATACCAATAACACTGATGGGGCTAAGAATTGAGCAGGAATTTCTCAGCTTTAAAAGACAGGCTCCTCAGTGGGCAGGAAGTGCCACAGGACCAATACTTGATTTTACACAAGCAGGCTGCTATCAAGGTTGATGCCCTGATCCTAACTAGGAAAATATAACTTGGGTTATTACCCACATCCTCAATTAGATCTGAAATGATATATTTAACACCAAGTACTAAGTGGTATGCTAAGGTTTGAACTCAGAATAACTTTATTTTCTATTAAATTTTCTCCCTAACCTCCCATCATGTCAATCCGCTGTGGAAAAAATAAAAATGTGATGTGGTTGGGAAGGGAACTTCATTCTGGATTTCCTGAATTGCACTCCAGTTCTATATTGGGACCCAAGCTGTAATATGTAAATGGTTTGC